GCTCGGAGTGCTCTGTCACCCTGTGGGGTCCCACTGCCTCCTCACTCCGCACTGAGGGGAACTGAGGCAGAAAGCACCCGTGTCCAAGGTCACAGTGCTTCAGTCCAGCGCTGAGCGGGGAACCCAGTGCCAGAGTTGGAGGGCCACAGCAACGCCGCCTGGGGGAACTGAGGGTTCGGTGCTGAGTGTTCAGGGTCGTCGGGATGATGATGTGGAAATAGCCTGCTGGAGGAACGGCACCCAAGCCTGAGCCCTGGTCTGCCCCAGACCGGGCTCCGAGGAAGCCTGCAGTCCTCCTGAGACGGTGTACGCTGCTCTGCTTCCAACCGACTCACCAGCGTGCCAGCCCCTGCCACGCACAGACCACCAGGGGAGAAGCGAGGCTAGTGTTGGCACGACCCGCCCCTGCAGAGGGCACAGAGGTGGTTCTCCCTTTCCACGTGAACTCAGCTGGAGGAAGCAGACTTCTAATCTGTTAGCCAAAGCGGCACCAGGGATGGTGGTGGCACCAGCAGACCGCCTCCCTGCAGCAGGCCTCAGCGGGCCTCGGTTCCTGGTTTGCAGCTGCAGGTCCTGAAAGGCTCCATGGCTGGGGCTGGTAGCTTGGAGCCCCACACACCCTGGCAGGTTTATGAGTCCCAGGAGTTCATAAACGGGAGCTCGATACCCTCTGTCCTTCGGAGCCTCAGAGGCATTTACGCAGATTGGGCCTGAGAAGCCGAGGAAATGCAGCAGCTCCAGGAGAGCCCGCTCAGCTGGTCCTGCTGGTGCGGAGTAGCCCGGGCAGCACCCAGGAACCCCAGGGAGGTCTACCCCACACTGCAGCCTGCAGGTGAAGAGGAAGAGGGCGCTAGTCTGTGCAGAAACTCCCTCCCAGGACGCCGTGTCCTCCCGGTAAGAGGAAGTGGCCAGCTAGCCGTGTCACGTTTCAGAGACAAAGTGAAACTACACAAGAAAGGGGTTCTGAGACTTGAAATGCTGCACTGACGTCAAGTTGTCAGAGCCAGTAACAGTCACAGAGCCAGACGGCGATGCAGAACCAGTTAACAGTCACAGAGCCAGACGGCGATGCAGAACCAGTAACAGTCACAGAGCCAGACGACGGTGCAGCAGGCATGCAGCTAGACCTGCGGGCAGGTCTGGGGTTCATCTCCCAGGGCCTCCTGTACATGCCGGGCACCTGCGTGCCGTGATGTGGGCTGGTGGGCGGGAATTCCAGGGTGAGCACCCTGTGGGGACGCCCGTCTCCCTCTTTCTTCCTGGACAGATGTGCTTCTTTCTCATGGAAGGAACACATGCCTAAACCTCAAAAGGAACTCCATCGTCATGAGCAGCAAGGATGGAAAGAATGGTGGTCTTTTCACTCAGCCCGCACCTGCCCACACACCTGTGGGGCCGTCTTCCTTCCTGGGCTGGTCTGGGGCTGGGCTGTCGTCAAGGTTAAGTACTTCGCATATCTTCAAGAAATCAGGCTGGCCTCCTTCCCCTCCAGCCCCCCTTTCTATCTTGGGCTGTCGAGCAGGGCTTTCAGGCAGGAAAACGCATATTTAGGCCAGGTACTGTTTACCTGTTTACTGTGTGCTGAGAATAACCCAGAGAGCTTTAAAAACCCCAGTGCCCAGGTCTTACTGCTGAGGTTCTGAATCGAGCTTGGGGCTCGGGGCTCGGGGCCTGGGCACCAGCATATTTTACTTTTATTTTTTCACTTCTTAAATTTTAGTAAAATATCCATAAGAAAAAATTGCCACCTCGAACCATTTTTACGTGTACGGTTCAGAGACGTTAAGTACATTGAAACTGCTCGGTGATCGTCGCCACCTTCCGCCCACTCCGTTCTCATCTCCCTGGAGTGAGACTCCACGCTGACGCTGACTCTCCGTCCGCCCTGCTGAAGCCCTGGGGAACTGCCATTCTTCTTTCTGGCTCTATAAATGTGACCTCTCCACGCGCCTAAGATGAGTGGATAATACCCAGCCACACTGTGCAGGGCATCAGCGCTGTAAGCTCGCCCAGGAAGGAGTTCTCTGGGCAATGGGGACGACAGTGCCAAGCAGAGGTTGTGAGCCCCCCTCCTAGGAAAGAGAACAGCTTCAGGATGCAAAGGGAGACGGCAGCAGGAAAACTGCAGAGACGGGGAAATACTGCAAGTTTCCCCCTAATCTCTGCCCACGTTTTATTTAGGCCAGGTACTGTTTTTGTGAAAGGGCAGGTGGTTGGGGGAGGCCATCAGTGTCTGGAAGGCCATCTGGAGCGAGGACCGCTCAGTCCCACCCCTGGGTTTGATCCTTGCTCCGTCAGTCGTGGGAGGGCAGTGTGCGCCTCTGGCACCTGACCTCGCTCTGCCGAGCCTCACAGTCTTGGTCTGCAAGTGGAGACGTCCTGTCTGCCTCGCAGGGATGGTGCACGGCTCCAGCACACAGTCAGTGTGTCTTCTGTGTTCCAAAGCCCTTGTGGGGGACAGCGGGGCTGCCGTTGTGAAAGGGTAATAATAACTCCCACCTGACCCTATTTTTGAAGCGCATTAGCCTTGAGAACTGCAGGGAGGGAGAGCACCCCTCTCCAGCCGGGTCCAAGCCGTGAGCACAGAATCTTTCATTTGAAGGGGCTTAGAGACTGTTAGAAATGATTTTTTCTTTTAAGTCTAGTCTTACTTTCCGGGCACAAATAGCCCTTAGAGACTGCAGCCATTTTCAAGAGACAAGCTGGAGGGGTGATTATGCCACTTTAACATAAAAAGGCTTTCTAATTCAGTAAGTGCCTTGAAGACACATTAATAGACATCATGCCCTTCGCCGCCGCCTTTGTGCCCCACGCCAGCACCTGCCCTTGGTGGGCGCAGACACACGCACACACGTGCACGCTCTGGGTGTGTTTGGGCTGTGTGTGTCCTATTCAAAGCAGATGAAGCCAAGGTTGCATGATGTCTTCTCTTTCTTTCTTCCACTTAATATATTTTTTAAATGAAGTCAGCCATTAGGGCTGAGCAGGAGCGCGGTGGGGGAGTGGCGGGCAGAGGGGAGAAGGGGGTGCTTTGTCTTGCTGGTGTGCTTTGTTCTGAGTAGTTCAGACAGTTCAGCCACCTCAGAGGGGGAGGCTTGGAGGAGCAAGAAGGTCCAGGGAGAGCCGCAGACAAAAGACGCACCTGTCTCTAGAGGCCAGGGCCGCTGTGGGGCTAAATGCCTGACACCACCTGAACGGGGTCCTGGCAACACGCGTGTGCCCGCACGCTACAGTTCAGTCATTCACAAGAGGGCTCACAACCCAGCAAGAGCCAGCGCCCGGCCATCGGCGCCTGCTGAATGCGCCCTGCACAAAGGGCCGGCAAGGACAGACACCTGGCAGGTAGGGGAGAGGGCTGCGAGGAGGGGGAGCTGCCACTTGGAGAAGCCGGGCTCCACTAAAGCCCATGTTAAGCTTGGCCTGAGCGACTCTCCCATTGGCTCTGCTCCATTATTCTGGTGCCGTCGGCAGCTGTGGCCCGTGTACTCAAAGGGTCTTGTGAGGACCCCACTTGAGGAGTTCAGAGGTTTAGCTTCCTCCTCCCCCTCCTTCCCTCCCCTCCCTCTCTCCAGCCAGTCTTCCTTTCCCTCCCTTTCTCCTCCCTCCTCCCTTCCAGGGAATGAGTTCCTACCTCAAACGAAGTGAGACTCAGTATATAAAACAAATCGAGGCCAAATGGAGGCCCACTCCTGGGGAGAGGCTGGAGCCTCACACTGAGCCCTGTCTTCTCCTTCCAGCCTAGACGCTGCATACACCTGCCCTGCCACACGGAGGCGCCTGTGGGCCCTTCCTGCCATGGCCCTGGCTGGTCACAGAAAATGCCGCCGCCCATCCTTCGAGCTCCCACTCACGGCTCCCTCCTCCGTGGCATTTGCTTTAGCTGTGCACAGAGTGTTTTCACACCTCTGTTTTCTAATAATTATTTCTTCATGTTTTTTCCCTTTCTTAAACCAAATACAGGAATCATTCACTCATTAAATGCCTAAAGCCTGACAGTGTCTGCACCAGCCCACATGACACCGTCTCATACAGAAAGCAATGCTGTGCTGTTCGTTACAACCTCAGTGGAAAAGTTGTTTACTGAGATGATTTAATTTTTCTCAACCAAATTAAACCAAACCAAACCAAACCAAACCAAGCCAGACAAAATCCTTGAAATAGTGCTTTAAAAACAAATTGACATTGCTAAAATTTGTTAGGAAAAACCTTAAAAGGTAGACATCTGAAATCCTTGACAAGTTCATTCCATTCTCTTCAGCAGAGGAGATCTCCAACTTTCAGCTTTGAAAGTGAGTAGAAGCCACTATTTTTAATGCCAGAGGGTGTGTGCACATGAGGGGGAGGGGAAAGGAAGCGTCCCCCAATGAACCTGGTCATGCCCCATTATTTTTCCCTCCAAATTCCATCCTATCAGGATCTTGGGCACATGCACGTCCAGCATGTCTTTTAAGCCACCAGTGCCGGGACTCGAAACCCAATCAACCAGGTGTGGTCCGGCCTCCTCTATGTGGTACCTAACCGCTGTGCCAGAGGGAAGCTGGCAGTACCACTTCATCCTAAGAACAGGCATGCTCTCTCACAGAGTAATGACTTCAAGTGACATGTTTGTAGCATGATTACAAGACAACTGGAACAGGGACTAGTGGGCAGTACCATTGTAATGCGATGCTCTGTGGTACTGCATCCGCACTGGAAGGGTCCTGGGTTCGTGCCCCGAGGCCCCCTGTGCATGGTGAACACCTCGGACACTTGTGATCTGGGCTGGCCGAGGCTGGGGTGGACCGTGTGTGAGACCCTGTGGGGATGTCCATCTCTCTGTTCCTCCCTCTGTCCCTCCCTTCCTGTTTCTCTCATGGAGGAAAGAAAGAAACGTAAAGGAAACAAATCGGGGGACAAGGACGTTGGTGCGCAGCCGGCAGTCTCCCACCCACCTTCACGTGTGGGTCTGGGCCCTATCTGGTACTGGGGAGAGTTCCAGGTGCATGAGGGGGCAGACTCACCTTCCTTGACACTCAGCCGTGAGGACTGGTCTGGGTGGGAGGTCGTGTTATAGGCCAGCAGAGAACCTGAAAGCAGAGCAGAAGCCAGTTATGACCAACACGCTCTTCTGAGACCAGGCCCGAGGAGGCTGTGGGAGAGATGGGCGAGGGCGGGCCAGAGGGCTGCTGCGGGCGAGGAGCTGCCTCCGCGTCTGCCTGCAGGACAGAGCTGCAGGGAGCCGGGCAGAACGAGCTGGCGAAGCTGTGCCCACTGCCCTAGTCCTAGTTCGGAA